ATAAATAGTATAGATAGAACTTTAAAATTAGTAGCAATGATTCAAATAATAAGAGAGGACACTATAAAATATTGGAATAAAAATAAGATAGAAGCTAAATTAAAAATCATAAATGAAAATATAAAAATTAAAATAGCAAAAATCAATCATACAAATCAAGATATTGAAAAATTTAATATACAAATTAAAGAGTTATTAGATTTAGAATTAATAAGACCATCCAACAATCAACATAGATCATCAATTTTTATGGTTAGAAAATCATAATGAAATTAAAAGGGGAAAGATGATAATGATTATAAATTATGGACTAAATGATAATTCTATAGAAGATGGATATGTGTGTGTGTTTTCTTTAAAAGGGATAACTAAATTAAATTAAGCCCTTGTTTGAGTCCCATTTTTGTCATAAAAATACATTTTTGAATAGTGTATTGATGTAAAATGTGTGTTTAAAAAATAAGGAAAAAGTTTTAGATTTACGTGTAATATTATTTTTATTGAAAAATGTGTGGTTGAAATGATATCAAGACACTATTTAAGAATGTATTTTTTCTCAAAGAATGAGCTCAAACAAGGACCAAATTAAATTAAATGATTAGGTGGTAAAAACTAAAAGTGTGAAAATTATCTGGGTGGTCGTTAGTTTGAATCCCATTTCACGCTAATAAAAGTCTAAGACCTTTGAGCTTCTTCAATTTAAATAAATAAATAAATGTTATAATCATTTCCAAATTTATTTTTCTTGGTCAATCTAGCCAATCGATGCAATGTCAGTTGAGGTTGTTACTGGATGATTTTTGTTAACCATAACAACCTCATAAAATCACAATTATTATTATTATTATTATTATCATTATTATTATTATTATTATTATTTATGTATTTATTTATTTATTTTTAATTCTAACTTATTGTGGAAGAAGAAGTTATAACTTTTTGTGGTTGCATAAACACAATTGTGCTCTTTGAAAAAACACAGCAAAAATTCATTTCCGTGTTCTGATATATTCAATTTTAGTATTATTCTATTTTTGAGATATTGTTTCTAAGTACCTGAAAAACGTTGTGATTATTTCACAAGTGATTCAATCGTTTATCATGAAAGTGATTGTCCAAATGTCCAAAGAGATTGCAATAGTTTAAGGTAGACAGTTTCATCTTAGGACATCGTGTTGTTACGAGTCCCAATCAGTCGATAAATTTTTTTACTTTTATATTTTAATTTTTTCCTTGAAAGATATTTGCAACTGATTTTTTTCCAAAAAGTAAGTCTAACCCCACTCTTATCTTGGTTCTTGACTTGGGACATTGGAGGAACTTTTGAGTCCGTTAAAGCACAAATTCGACAGACGGATTTTGTCCCACAGCTTGCCTGTAAAGCTCGGTCCAAAAGATAATCACAAGGTTTAAAGTCATAAAGTTGAACGAGCAAAAAATTTAAAAGTAATAAGTTCTTACTTTAATTAAACCTTTATTATTACTTTATTCGATCTATTTTAAAGTAGACAGACACCAAAAAATTATTCGACTTTATACCCAAAAAAAAAAATAAAAAAAAATATTAATTTCATTTTTAAATCAATTGAGGTGGACAAATGATAATTATTGCTGTTGCCCATGATGAAAAATATCCAAGCTGAACAAATAAGTAGAAAAGAATGAAAGGAAAAAATCTACAAACATTTTTTGAAAACCCCTCTTTATTATAATTTTTTTTTATAATAGATTTTCCAAAAAGTAACTTTTTTGGACAATATGTAACTACAAAGTATGAAAAAGTTATGAGTCCAAGTACAAAATTATTTTATTGGAAGAATGAGTGATTGAAAATGAATTTGAAATAAAAATTAAATTTAGAATTGAAGGTTGAATAGGAGCATATTCTCAAAAGTAATTTTTGGGTAATTCAAATCTCGATCTAAGCCATTTTTTTTTCCAAATATAGACAAGATTATCATGGACATAAAATTTAAGTTGTCTTCGACTTTACATTATAATTGAGCATTTATTCTAGAAAAATTTTAGTAAACTATGCTGAATACATCTGTTCGATTCTCTCAAGATCTACAAAACATACACAAGTTAGATTTCTTAAATGTGAAATATGGGTGGAATAGACAATTAGACTTCAATGATAAAATCAGCTTTACTATTTTTGAGATAAGTCTTAATAGAATTACAATTGCTTTAGTGACCGATAAATGGTTCGATATATGGTAGTAGTAGAGTTCTCTAACAATTAAATTGCTTGTGATTTTGGAGTTTGATGCATTACAACTATACACGTAACCAACTTTGTTAGAGTGTTTAATTAACACCAATAGTCACGAAATCTTTCTAGGCCTAGCTAATCTGCAACAAGCTTGTTGCCATGGAGTCATACTGGTTGCACTTTGTTATGGGTTTGGTGAGCCATCGTGGTGACCAACCTCCTTCCGGTTTGTCTTGCCTTGGTAGAGCCGAGTCATTAGATCTTCATCGATAACTTGACTACATCATTACAACTATACATGTAACCAACTTTGCTAGAGTGTTTAAATAACACCAATAGTCATGAAATCTTTCTAGGCCTAGCTAATCTGCAACAAGCTTGTTGCCATGGAGTCATACTGGTTGCACTTTGTTATAGGTTTGGTGAGCCATCGTGGTGACCAACCTCCTTCCGGTTTGTCTTGCCTTGGTAGAGCCGAGTCATTAGATCTTCATCGATAACTTGACTACCTTTTTTACTTCTTACAGGTGTTCGAGCATTAGATCTTCGTTGATAACTGGACTACCTTTTTTACTTCTTACGGGTCATTTCGCTACGATGCTTGATAGGTTCAAGGTACCACACCATTTTATAAATAAAATAGCTTCTTTAAAGTTATCTATGTATTTAGATTTATATGTCTCGGTATTTTATTTTATTTATTTTAATTTTTTTTTAATTTTTTTGTGAAAAACATCTTTTAAGCTCTTGTTTGGGCTCCATTGTAATGGAATTTTTTTTTTCCTCTTCTTGGGTGGGGGAGGGGGAATGAGTTTTAGAATAGTGATTTTTATAAGAATTTGTAGTTAAAAATTAAGAATTTTTTTTTGATTGGCGTGTATATTATACCATGCGAGAAGCAGTGATTCAAATAGAGTTTTGGAAAAAATGGATTTTGAAAAAACTAGGGCCAAACATAGCTAAGTATCAAATATTTTAATTTGTCTGTCCCAAATTTACTTAAACTTTATGACTCAACATTTTTAAACTAAAGAGCTCGAACAAAAATAATAAGAAAGTAAAGGAATGCGAGGAATTTTCGGCCAAAGACTCCGGAGGTCTAGTGACCGCTTCTAACACTTAGTCTCCTATTGAGTATCTGTAGAATTAAGCTCGAATCCACTAACAAGGGCCAAAATAGACAAAATTTGAATTATAGGAACACAAAATTCTCAGATTTCACACAACTTACAATATCCTCTCAAAATAGTGTAAACTCACACAAGAGTTTCGCTCATGTTTTTCTCTCTCAAAATAACACTCAGAATTTCAAAGAGAATCACCAAGAACACACGGAGAAAATGAACAAATGCACGAAAGAAAACTGCTAGGTTTCAGAATGAATCCCTAAAGTTACAAGACCACCTATTTATATGAANTTATTTTAATTTTTTTTTAATTTTTTTGTGAAAAACATCTTTTAAGCTCTTGTTTGGGCTCCATTGTAATGGAATTTTTTTTTCCTCTTCTTGGGTGGGGGAGGGGGAATGAGTTTTAGAATAGTGATTTTTATAAGAATTTGTAGTTAAAAATTAAGAATTTTTTTTTGATTGGCGTGTATATTATACTATGCGAGAAGCAGTGATTCAAATAGAGTTTTGGAAAAAATGGATTTTGAAAAAACTAGGGCCAAACATAGCTAAGTATCAAATATTTTAATTTGTCTGTCCCAAATTTACTTAAACTTTATGACTCAACATTTTTAAACTAAAGAGCTCGAACAAAAATAATAAGAAAGTAAAGGAATGCGAGGAATTTTCGGCCAAAGACTCCGGAGGTTTAGTGACCGCTTCTAACACTTAGTCTCCTATTGAGTATCTGTAGAATTAAGCTCGAATCCACTAACAAGGGCCAAAATAGACAAAATTTGAATTATAGGAACACAAAATTCTCAAATTTCACACAACTTACAATATCCTCTCAAAATAATGTAAACTCACACAAGAGTTTCGCTCATGTTTTTCTCTCTCAAAATAACACTCAGAATTTCAAAGAGAATCACCAAGAACACACAGAGAAAATGAACAAATGCACGAAAGAAAACTGCTAGGTTTCAGAATGAATCCCTAAAGTTACAAGACCACCTATTTATATGAAACACGACCAATTGTATCATCTAACAGTGTAAAATCCGCCACATGTCAACAATCTAGCAAAGGCACCTTTCAACTTAAAAGGTGTATTTACCATAATTCCAGAATCTTCTGCATCATTATTTGGGTCATTGATTTTGGGCCAAAATGACAACCAAACCGGCACCTGATAATGTAAATGTTTGAGCATCACAAAATTCAGCGACCCAATTTCTACATAATTGTTAAATTGACAACAAAAAATTATTAAAAGGAAATAAAAGACAATATTATTGTTCTTCAATTACTTTTAAACACTTTATAATAATATTAGAGATCATTAGGTTTAATTGGAAAGTTTTTGAGCCTGTTTGTGAGTGATTTTGAGAATTGATTTTTTGACCATTAGAAAAAAAGTGGGGTTCACCTGTGAGAGAAGAAGTCATATATGATGATTAAAATAGTGAAATAACGATAAAAAATTAATTTTTTGAGTAAAAAAATCGAGCCCAAACATGTTCTTAATTTAAATTTGAATAAACTGTTAATCTCCTACATGGAACAACGGCTAGATTTCAAATTATGGCAAAAATGTAAATATCTTTAAATCCAACCAATTTCACTCCACGTTCGTCACTCCACGTTGTTGATGGGGAACGCTGACATGTTCAATCATTAATGTCAGACGGCCGATATTTTCTTACCGGTCGATATTAAATTTACACATATAAAATATTTTTTATAGAGAGAGAGATAAGGGGAGGGGTGGCTAGAGAGAGAAGTCTTAAGTTTCGGAGGGTGGAGAGGAACGCTTACATTGTTTGAAATTATTGAAGGATTACCAGCCTCCTTATCTCTTCTTTACGGGCATTGATCTGAAGGTACATAACCATTTCTTCATTCAATTATCTTGGAAAGAAGAAAAGATGAATGAAAATAACCCATTATCTGTTCTCTATATAATTGTTATTATCTATACTCGATCAATAATTCTTGAAAATATGTAAGATGCTTTTTGTCTTGAATATTTATGAGATGCTTATATTAATGATTTCTTGAAATGGGTTGATGCGAATTATTGTAAATTTTCTTTACATTTTAAATTTATGTAGGCTCGATCAAGTTTTATCATACATTGAAGGAATTCAAGTTTCTTAAAAATTTATGAGATGCTAATTTATTGAATATTTTAAATTACATTGTCAATTGTAATGGGTTGATGCGATGATCAGGTAAAGTGTCTTAAATTCTGAATTAATGTAGGCTGGCAGTCAATCAAGATTCACGATATATTTAAGGAATTTGGGTATCTTGAGAATTTATGGGATGGTTATTTTCTGCTACCTTTAAATCATATTGTTCATAAAGGTTGAGAGATATTGACGTAAGGTGTCTTTAAATTTTAAATTTGTGCAGGCTGGTAAAAGAATTTGAAAAGTGTCCCCTTCATCTTAAGGGCTTTCCTTTCCCTTCCAGTTCTGAAGATTTTCAAGAATCTTGAATATATTAAGATCAAGAAGGGAAAGAAAGCATTATTGATTATTATTGAATTATGAGTGCTGTTTCGGGTGTGATCTCAAGGCAAGTCTTGCCGGTATGTGGCAGTCTTTGTTTCTTTTGCCCAGCAATGCGGGCTCGGTCTAGGCAGCCTGTGAAAAGGTACAAGAAGTTGATCGCAGAAATTTTTCCTCAATCCCAGGTTAGTTTCACGAATCATGTGTTACAATGTGGAGATCGCCTTTTGTGATTATATTATTTCTGTACTACCAAGAGTGAACATCTGTTGAAGAATGTGATATGTATAACGTTTGCATTGTGATTCTAGTGATATTCAGCTATATAGCAAATAAATAGTATTTTTACAAAAATTGCAAGGAATTGGAGAATTCATTTTTCTTTAGTTATGCTATCGCAATAATAATTTCTGAAATACCTTTCCAGTCATAAGCAATAGTCTTTTTTAATTTGGAAGTATTTCAACATTATTTGAGGACAAATATTGTGTCTATGTTGCATCAGCATGATATTTCAGTGGCTTGGCTATGTTAAATGTTTCATTTATATATGTTGTTGCTGAAATTGTGACATTTTCCCCTTCTGCTACATAGGAAGAAGAACCTAATGATCGAAAGATGGGGAAATTATGTGAATATGCTGCAAGAAATCCTTTGCGCATCCCAAGGGTATTAATTTTTTACTTTATTTATCTCTAGCTTATTGTGTTTATAACAATGATTCATCTTCCAATTATTTCTTCATCTAATTATTATGCACAGATCATATAATACTTTCTTCCCTTGAGTAAAAGATTTTCTTTTTTCAACTCTGTTGTCTGTTTTCTTATGACAGATTACCAGTTTCCTTGAGCAAAGGTTCTACAAGGAATTACGAAATGGAAACTTTCGTTTGGCAAAAATTGTTATGTGTATTTACAGGAAATTGATAGTTTCTTGCAAGGAGCAAATGTATGTCCATTGATCTATACAACTTTTATTTGTTGTTTTTTAAAATTATTTTAATATTCTAAAGTATTCTATTATGGTTATTTTCACGAGTGTGTTATTTGCTTGTTGTTGAAGTCTTGATTCCTCAACTAGTACTTATTGTTGCTTTTGTCAGAGGTCAAGTGAAAATAGATATTTTTCTTCACCCAAGTAGTCACTTTTTTGCTGAGAGGAAATTAGGTCAACGATAATGAATGAATTCTGAGAAATTTTTATGCTTCAGTTAAGAGGGCTAGATGTTGCTAGAGACAAATTTTTTCCCCACATTTCTGCATATGTCTTATCATATATGAACTAATTGTCTTGTGTTGAGTGAATTTCCATGCAGTGAATTTTCTGCATTTTCTTCTATTCCCGAAACAACATGATTTCTTTTCCAAATTTAAGTTGACAGAAACGAAGTTGAGTTTATCTTGTCACTTGTAGGCATTTTTTATTAAATTTCTGGGACAATATGTATTCTTTCTTATCTTGTACCCTTACTGATCCACTCGAAATGAATGACAGGTTTTAATTTTTAAGAGGCTTTATTTTTTTAGCTGTTTCTTTTTATTTGAATTACTAATGCAGTAGTTTTTAAGTGGGATTTTGGTTGCAATTCATTATTTTCGGGAATTTAATACGAACCTATACTCTGTTTTTTTTTTTTTTTTTTTTTTTTTTTTTGTGTGGCCTTTGTTTGCAACTAGTCTGTTGAGCATTATGCAAATTCTGCTCGATCAGACAACCCATGTTGAAATGCTAATGATAGGATGCCAGTCTATCTTTGATTTTGTAAATAATCAGGTCAGTCTTAATTTTTTTGTCACATTCCATATTCCATGGTGCCTAACTCTCTCATTTTTTAGACATCCAGTTTAGATTCTTCCAATTCTTCTCTTCGAAAAAATTGGACTTTTGAACTTTGGTGTATTTTGCAGACGGATGGAACCTTTATGTTTAACTTAGAAGGATTTATTCCAAAGCTCTGTCAATTGGCTCAAGAAGATGGAGGGCATGAGAGAGAACATCATCTTCGTGCAGTTGCGCTACAAGCTCTATCCTCTATGGTATCTTGTTCTCATTTTAATTACCTTTTCACTTAGATATATCTTTCATTTTACTAACAAGAATTCGCAAAAGAATTTCATGTCTGCAACAGTATAAGCAGTTCCATTTTAGTGACACAATGGTTAATTTTTTCTCCAAGTGTATTTTCTGTTTGAACAGTTGTGTTGCTAAATTAAACGATTCTTCAATTTATTTATTTACTTATTTATTTATTTATTTATTTTTTTGGGTGGATGAAGTATTAATCTGTAGATTTTCCTTTTTTAAATAAGTTTTGGGAACTATACGCCTTTTTGTTTTCTTCGTCTTTGTTTTTCTTGCATAACATTTCATGATATCATCAGAACAGGTTATAAATCATAATCTCATATCAAAACCACTTATTTATAACAAATGCATTATTAACAAGAGACAAAGTTTTCAACAGTACGAAATACCTTAGTTTATGTTTGAAACTGTAAAACGTTGCACAGCTCTTGTGAGTAAAAACTGGACGGCACACTACCTGCTATAAGAATCTTTATTTGATCTTCCCCGTGTGGGTAAGTACATACAAAAATATGAACATCTCCTGCATGTTTGTATGCATTTTTCTATGTATACACAAACCTGTATGTTCTGAACTTGGATATCTCATATTCTACTTCTACCCCACAGAGGACGGGGGGTGGAAGGTGGTGGAAGACTTTGCTGTTGTAATTGTATATTTTGGCTGAATGGGAAATATCACTGTGCTTTGAACTAAGACGTCTGTTGTAATTGTACATTTTTTTTACTGCTCCTGCATCACCGTGCTTTGGTATTATATTTACAATGAGACGTGAATATGGTTTCCCTAGTTCTCTTTCTTTTAGAGGCCCAGATTCTGGATGTTTCATTTTTCTTTTCATGCATTCTTGTGTTGAATAATTTTGCATTAGTACAGAAGTAGTTCTAATGTTCTATTGACTGTTTACCATCAGAAATTAATGCTATCAGGGGATTGGCACGTTCATTCATAAATCCAAATCTGTGATGAACTTCAAATGCTTTTTATTATTCTCTTTCTCTGGTTTTATTCCTTCAGGAACTTAATGTTTCTCTTATCTTTGCATCTAAATATTTCTTATCGTTACTCAGTTTTATTTATGTTTTTGTTTCACAGGTTTGGTTCATGGGGGAAAATTCCCATATTCCAGTTGAATTTGATAATGTAAGCATTTATTTTCAACTTATGCAAACAAACAGTTTTATAATTTTGAATTCTGTCTTTTTGGTATTCCTTTCATTTTTATAGATGTATAAAGTGTTGGTTAATTTTTAATATCTATGTTTAGTGGTCAAACCTCGAAAAGTTTTAATAATTTTCAAACTTTTAGTTATGTGGACTCATGTGATAGTTGAACATGGGCTTTACGGTTTTTGTATTATGTATGCACTATTTTCTTACAGATTTCTTTTATGTTACTTTTAGCCTGGCTTGCGAGGCTTATCAGTCTTACTGTGCACAACCTACTTTATTCATCAGTTTATTTTTCTTATTTACCAGATTGTTTCTGTAGTCTTGGAAAATTATAGAGGTCCACTTAAGGAGTCCCAAGATCCCAACCAAGACCATTGGGTGCAAGAAGTTCGTAAAATTGAGGGCCATGTCTCTCCTTCACCAGATGTCTTGATGAAGGTTCCCTCTTGGAGGATGATCGTAAATGAGAAAGGAGAACTCAATATGACAGCGTAATTTCTTGTCATGATATTGATAAGAAGTTATAATTTTGTTATAGTATCCAATACTATCTAACACTTCACTTGGAGTTTTATAACATCCTCAAAACTATATCTTGGTTTTCTTTAACACAGGGAAGATGCCAAGAATCCATGCTTTTGGTCTAGGGTGTGTTTGCACAACATGGCCAAGCTAGGGAAGGAGGCTACAACTATGCGCCGGGTTTTGGAATCTTTGTTCCGGTATTTTGATAATGGAAATCTATGGTCTGTTGAACGGGGGATTGCTTTTCCTGTCCTCAAAGAGATGCAACTTTTGATGGACGACTCAGGTACTCTTATTGCTTTCTACTTTCTATTTCCCAGCCTTTTTTTTTTACGTTGTTTCAGTTTTAGATTGAAATTTATTTTTCACAAAAGAGTAATTGAATGTTCCTATATTTGATTTTACAGGACAGAATGCACATTTTTTGTTGTCGATATTAGTCAAGCATCTTGACCATAGAAATGTTCTTAAACGGCCTGATATGCAGCTTGACATCGTTGAGGTTGCCACTTCCCTTGCTCAACTCACCAAGGTGCAGTCATCAGCATCTATAGTCAGTACAGTGAGTGATGTTATGAGGCATCTGCGTAAAAGCATACATTGTTGTCTTGACGATTCAAATCTGGGAGAGGAATTAATCAAATGGAATAGAAAATTTTATGAAGCCGTGGATGAGTGTCTCACAGAATTGTCAACTAAGGTGGGTTACCAAGCCTGTTTTCTTGTTAGTAGATGAAAATAGGTTATTCTTTTACAGTTCTATAATATAAAAGCTTACCTCAATTAACACCCACAAGCTTATCGGATAGATATTGTATTCAGTTTCTAGACATTGAAGATTCCTTTTCAGCAGGTGATGGAACTCTCGATTCATAATACTTTTGTTTCACTTATTAACAGGTTGGAGATGCAGGAATAATCCTTGACGTAATGGCCACAATATTAGAGAACATCTCAAGCATTAATGTTATAGCTAGAACAACTATTTCTGCTGTTTACCGCACTGCTCAAATTATAGCTGCTATCCCTAATTTATCATATCAAAACAGGGTAGAGCCTTTCACAAATTATATCATTTTGGAGCTCTCTTCCTGTAGCCCATATTTTAACTGATGTCCAATTTTCCTTTTTTTTTTTTTATCTATTAAAATTTTAGGCTTTCCCAGAGGCTTTATTTCATCAGTTGCTTCCAGCTATGATCCATCCAGATCATGAAACACGAGTTGGAGCTCACCGGATTTTCTCTGTTGTCCTTGTGCCATCTTCCATTTGCCCTCATTCGTGTTCATCCTCAACCGACAGGAAGAAGACTACTGATTTTCCAAGAACACTCTCAAAAACTGTTTCTGTATTTTCTTCATCGGCTGCCCTGTTTGAAAAACTGAGTGACCAGAAGATTTCTTCATGGGAAAACTTCAATGAATTGAACAACGAAAAATCTTTAGGTGAGGGAGAACAAAGAAACAACCCTAGTGGAATGTTGGATAGAATTAAGTCAACTTATAGTCGAGCATACAGCTTCAGAAGTTCACCAGCACCAGATGTAGATTCTGCAACCAAGTCAAGCAAAGAAATGGTAGGTTTATCACGTTGTCTTCATCATATCCCAACTTCATAATTTTGAAGTTGATGCTAAATGTTCATTTATCAAGAATTATCACTGCTGAAATGAACCTGCTAGTTCAGTTCTCATTTTCTTTTATTCTATCCAATTTAAGAACTTCTGTACATAATTGTTCTCTTCATTATGTTCCAAAGTCAGATATCTTCTTCTCTGGATCGCATAATTCCTTTAGTACATATTTCATACTCCATTATACCAAACTGGACCCTGTAATAGACAAGATACTATCATCTTTTTCTTTGTTATTATTATTTATTGTTGTCTAATTCACCTTACTAGATATGCCACAATTGTAGCATTGAAAGACATTGGACTTACTAAAATTTTAGATGGTTGCCTGTTGAATCTGCTTAATGTAGCATTACTAAATTGTGTAGTTGCTTCCTTTTGATATTAGGATGCCGTTGCTCTTAGGCTGAGCAGCCACCAAATAAGCCTTCTGCTTTCTTCTATATGGGCGCAATCCATGTCTCCTTCAAACATGCCTGAAAATTATGAAGCAATCGCTAATACATACAGCTTGGTTTTGCTGTTCTCTCGAGCCAAGGTAACTTACAGTTTCAAAGGTGTCTTAAACTCTTGGTCGTATGAACATTTAATCATTGAAGTTCTGTCTTGTAAACTGTTAATAAAAAAGAAAGAAAATGAAATTTCCTGACGTTTGTTACTAGGAAAATTCAATTCCCGTCTACAATTTCTGTAATAGGTATTGATAGACCCCCATGGATATTGTCTTATTTCTACTTCTAGATGCTTCAATTCCTATTAGACGTTCTAATGGCTATAAATTTTCTTCCCATATTCTTAAACTTCTATACTCACTACTCCTCCGTGCATCTGTGCAGAACTCCTTCCGTGACGTTCTAATAGAGAGTTTTCAGGTGGCATTTTCATTACGGAGTATTTCTCTCTCAGAAAGAGGTAGGCCTTTGCCATCTTTCATTCAACTATGATGCTACATACTTTAAAGTTTGTGATCTCTTGAATCTTATTTGGTCACAAATTTGTTTCCTTCGCGGGGGGGCTGGGGAGGGGGGGTTGTAGGGTGGGGAGGATTTTGGAGTTGTTAAGTTACTGGCTCAGTATTAGTGAGGAAACAAATGGAATGTGGAAGAGAAAAAACAACTTGAAGCTATATTCTTCTTATTAAAACACATAATGAAATTTCAATTAGACATATCCGTTTGGTACACATTAACGTAAAAATGAGATTGGAAAATATAGCTGTTACGGACCCCACATAAGAGATAGAAAGTCAAATATGTTGGCTTGATGTGATGGATAATGATCATATTTTTCATTTTAATGAGCAAATAATGGAAAACAAACGGGGGCATAACAATCTACAAACTTGCATTTTCCACCACACCCTTTTGTTAATCAATTAAAGAGCATCTATTCTGGCAATCCGGGATTAAGTTGATTAATCTTGATATATTTGAACCACGACATATTTTCATTAAATTTTGCAAGATGTCTTAAAATTTCTATATTAATTGACATATATAGCTGCATGGCTGTGTGTTTTTTCATGTACATCCAAAATTTTAAGTGATAGCATTCTTGCCAATGGTCTTGTTAGTAACTAAAGAATCTTGATTAGAAATGAATATTAGAGTCCAGACAGTTATTTATATGCTTGTAGTGAAACAAGTTGATGATTCTATTTGCTTGTTTGACTTGGTATTGCTAATTAAATTTACTAGACATATTTTTATGAATACGATTAAATTATGTTTATCAACATGTTCTTTTGTATTACCAGTGCCACTGCCCCCATCTCGCCGTAGATCCCTTTTTGTGCTGTCGACTTCTATGATTATATTTTCATCAAAGGCATTCAACATCCTTCCTCTTGTCCCACGTGTCAAGGCTGTACTTACAGATAAAGTGGTGGGTTAACTCTCTCTCTTTTTACAAGCTTTTTGTTTTACATTTTTTATGTCCCATGTTTTTTGTGGTATATTAATCTCTCAATGCTTAATCTTGCCAGACATGTTTGTCTCAGCTTAAATGTAATAAAAATTTAATTTTATGGGACCTTCTCTTCCAAGGATATTTGGATATGTCCAATTTTTTGTTCTTTCAAGTCAAAAAAGTTAAAGTTAACTCATTTGTAAAAGTAATTCTTTAGTTGCCATCTTGAAAAAGTAAATAACTTATTTTCAACTTTGTCCAATAAACATTTATCCATTTTGGGAACTTATTCACTTGTACGTAAGTTTACGTAAAACTTAATTATTTAGGCTTTTACCCAATCTTGCTCTAACTTCAATGCCATAAGCTGTAGTAATAGTCGATGGATATCAATGGTAAATACAAATATTACTCACTTACCAAGGTTGGTTAGATGCTTCATCATCTTCTTCTTTCTTCATTTTCAGGTCGATCCATTTTTGTGCTTGGTTAAAGATTGTAAGTTGAAGATTTCGGATACAGGTTCTGTTCATCCGAAAACTGTTTATGGGTCAAAGGATGATGACAGTTCAGCTTTGAGATGTCTTTCAGAAATAAAGATCACCCAGGAACAGACTACAGAATGTCTTGTTTCTGTTATTATCAATAATCTGGATAATTTAACAAATGTAAGTTAGTTCCATGAAATGGATGCATGGTTAATGTATAAATTCAACTAGTAATTCTTCCCCCAATGCTACTTTGTGCAGTCTGAAGAATCTTCCATCAGGGAGCAGTTGCTCAAAGAATTTATGCCTGATGAAGAATGCCTTCTGGGATTCCAGGCATTCAGAAACACCTCTAACCATGCTCATCCGAGGCATACAACAAACGTTAAATCTCTAAACAAGGTAATACTTTAATTAGATCTTATAGATTTCTTTTTACCGAGATGATGTCTGGATGTCATTAATTTTAAGTTATATTTTGCCAAACATAATTTTGAAAGTTACTTTTTACTCACAAAACTTACTTCCAAGAAATAACATTTTTAAGCATAGCCAAAGATGATCCTTATCATGTCTATTTTACTATGGTGCAGGTAACCTCAATTTTGGAAATAGATGATGATTCTCTTCTGGATCCAAAGTGTAGTGAAAATAATTCACAGTTGGACATTGAAATTCCCGACCTTTTGAGTGTTGATAAACTTCTACAATCTGTAAGTTTTTCCTTCACGAGGTTCCTTTTTATATTTACTACTAAGTAATAATGATCTGATAGTTAGGTTTATTTTCTTGTTAACTCACACAGAGTATGTTTATGAAAACTGATTGCCTAACTTCAACGACATTTCATTGGACTTCTTTTAATTATAACATACACATTTTTGTCCATATTCGTTGATTCTTTTCACATTTCACTTAGTCGTCGTAGGAGCATGTAGTCTTCAAAAGTTCTAATGTTGTACAAATTCATTACAGTATTGAGTCATATAGATCATATGTGGAATTAGACTTTTGTTTCTTTACAAGTTTTAATGCCAGCCAAATAAGGCATTATAACATCTTTAAAATTGTCCCACGACTTTCTTGCAATAATGTTGTGTGTGACATATTTGAACAGGTTCTGGAAACTGCACATCAAGTCGGTAGAATTTCTACAAGCAATGCTCCTGATGCATCTTATAAGGAAACAGCCCATCAATGCGAGGCACTTTTGATGGGAAAGCAGCAGAAAATGTCTTATTTGATAAGCGCCCAACATACGCAAGGGAGTTTATTGACCATATGTTCACGAAGTTCTGGCCAATGGCTACCTTCGTTTGTCATTGATGATGGCAGTTTCCAAAAGGTACCAATTTTTTCTTTATGAATATTACTGTCATATACTTGCTACTTTTGTGTTCCATACAAACAACTCAATGTGATATTAATAATTATGTTCAGAGTTTATAACTGTAGTAAAAAAAAATCTGGAACAAATATTTCTTTAGCTCTATGATTTCTTAACCCATTACAAAATTTTTGATAATCAATGATAAAGTTTTACTATTTAATAAACTTGGAGTCAGCTAGCTTTAGGACTCATTTATTTGTTCCAAAAGAGATTACTTTAGGTAGTTAGATTCGATTATTAAAGAGGACTTGAATATGATATAATATATAGGATTAGAACAGGTTGGACAATATGGAGAAGTGTAGTAGGTATTCTAGAGTTTATGATCTCTATAAGTTTAAAGGGCAAGGTGTACAAAACAGTTATTAAATGGGTAATTATATTCACACCATAATTTTCATTAGTTGCACCACATTTTAATTTCACTTAAGGTCCTTATTCTTTGCTCATTGTAGCACTTATGTACCTAACCTTTTTTAATGTATTTTTATCTTCAACCTTCCATTAATACACATCTCGTCTTTGATAATGGTTTCATTCCAAAACGCTCATTGGGAGGTTATAAAAAGGGCTTATTTATCCATCATATTTTTCGAAAAATAATAAGCACCTATTTGAGCTCTATTTTTTTGCTAAGAATGCATTTTGGAATTGTAGATTTATGGAGAATGTGTGGTTCAAAAATAAGAAAAAAGACTTTGCATATAATATTATTTTAATGAAGAATGCGTTGTTGAAAAAAAGAGAGAAAAATGTATTTTGGAAATAATGGAGATCAAGCAAAGACTAAATTCAAAGGTATAATAAAATATTTTTCCCACATTTCAAATTGCGCAAAAATAATTTTATAGAAACTATAATCAAGAACGATATGTGTTAATTAATGAGAGGTTGAAGATAAACAATTCGACAAAAAAATTCGCGACATAAGTGTTATACGAGCAAAGTTGAGGACATTAAGTGCTATTAAATAAGGTGCAACTTATAAAAATTATGGTATGAATTACCCTTATTAAATTGTTTTGTTATATAGTACCGAATGCTAAGTTGTGAGAAGGACAATAATCTCCCTAAGATGAAAGTTTGAAATGGGAATGTTAAGGTAGATGTGATCGAATTAAAATGGATAAGCAATGGAAAAAATATACCAAGTTGAGGTTACACCACTTGAAGATAAATTGATGAAAAGATTAGGTGATTAGGATGTGTCTTGTGTGGATCTAAAATGGGCCCTAGTAACAATAGTAACAAGAACCTGGTAGGACATGTAAAAAAAGGAAGAGGCTTACCAAAATTAACATGACATGTTGTGGTTGGGGAAGGATTGTATTAGATCTTCCAGTAACTGTTGTAACAGATCGAATGGAGTAGCAATGAAGGTTTTATCTAGCCATCTCCAACTTTATTAGGATTAAGGCACAATTTGTTGTTGTATGCTTCTCTAGTCTTGTGAGTTCTCGTCCTACTTCCTTTTTCTAGGTATGTTCCCTCTCTTAAATGTTAAATCTGTGTGTGTGCTACTTCTCAACTTCATATAACTTTTTCTAATCATATGCACTGCATTTTCTTCATAAATAATACTCTTTTGGACAACACAATCTTCTATCATGATATTTCCACCATCCTTATGTCTAATAGAGCTAAGTTAAAATGATATTTTAGCTATATTAATTGATTACTAAGCACGCCATATAAATTCTGACTTATCGTCTATGTACTAATCTTGACAACTAAAAATATGTGTTATAACTCAATCCAAGAAATCCTTGTGCATATTTAGAGCCTGTTTGTGAGTGATTTTGAGAATTGATTTTTTACCGTTAGAAGAAAAGTGGGGTCTACCTATGAAAGAAGAAGTCAAATATAACGGCTGGAATAGTGAAATAACGGTCAAAAGATCAATTTTTTGGGTGAAAAAATCGGGCCCAAACAAGCTCTTAATAGAATTCTTTCTTTTATATCATATTACTTCATCACGTGCTTTTCCTATATCAATATAAATCATATGCAAGTCCTTTGTCTATAATTCCCATCAAGTAACGAAATAGCCCCATAGCTTCAATTACTAGATGCTTTTGATATGAAATAAAACCCATGATGCTCGGACTTGAGTAAGGTATCGGGTATGGTACGTATCCAAGTGTCGAATATTTTATTTTCTAATATATAAGATATGGGGATATGACTAAAAAGAGTTTAAATTTCGAACACAGGTACGTGAATACGCCTTTCAAGCTTTAGTTTTTTTCTAACCCAAGATGTCATTTTGAATAGACCAAAATTAATTGTTCACAAAAAAGGAAATGAGTATTGAATAAAGGGTTAAGACGAATAAAATAAAATTTTGGGGTTTAGTTTTCAATTATGGGAAGTTAATTACTGAATGTTATATAAAATAGAAAATGAGGGACTTGATTGCAATTTGTACTTAGTGGAGCATTAAGTAGTACTAATATGGAATTCATTATCATTTTATATAAACAGAACCCTACACCATCGATACGAAGAGGGAAAGAAGGAAAACAAGAAAAAAAGGGAAAAAAAAGAGAGAAAGAAAAAGGGGAAATCTA